ATACATTAACTACAAATACTGCAGTATATGAAGTACAGAGTGATGTCAACAGGTGGGTCACATGGTCAACCTGTAACTGCTCCACTCTCTGTCTCATCTGTGTGTGTGTGTGTCTGTGTGTGTCTGTGTGTGTGTGTGTGTGTCTGTGTGTGTGTGTCAGCACTTTTCCAGGCCGGTCATAAAGAATTCTGCTGCTCTTTGCATTTTTTTTCCTCCTAATCCATAAGCAAAATACCACAGTACCTGGCCTCACCCCTCTGCCCCCCCCGTCCCTGTCCCCGTCCCTGTCCCTGTCCCTGCCTCGACACGGTCCACCTTCCTGTACTCTCACAGGTACACGCTGTACCTTCAACTGCAGTACACTGCACACAGCTGTTCCTGTTAGAACCTCCACACTAAAGACTGGAGTCAGGACCCAGTGTCCAACACTGGGTCCAACACTGTGTCCAACACTGGGTCCAACACTGGGTCCAACACTGTGTCCAACACTGTAGAATGTATCTTGTGGGACTTCTTCATTGGACCTTGACTCTGTCCAAACTTTATTTCTGGTTCCAGTTCCACATTTTCAGTTGATCAAGTATTTAACAAAACAAAAGGTCCTTTTTGAATTAAAATGGCCGTCAGTGTGGTCTGTGTCAGAGTCTGTGGAGCAGCATGTAGACTGTCAACATCTGGTCCATAATCCTGTCTTTCAGCTGGTGTAGTCCATGAACTGACAAACTGACTCCGATTTGTTCAAATGAAAATAAACGACCTGCGTCTGACTTTCTGGTTCTTCATCAGAACAGGAAGTGTCTCAGCACCGGAGCTGTCCACGTCCACTTTTACTACGTGTGCAGAAAAGGTGTGTGTGTGTGTGTGTGTGTGTGTGTGGTAGGGGTGTTGGAGGGTGTATTGATTCACTGTCTAGACAAAGATATATCAACTATCTCACTGCAGGCAGACACACACACACACACACACACACACTGCAGTGTTTTCTCCTCCAGCAGATACTGATCCCACCTTCACAGGAGCTGGAAACCCCAGCTCATATGTGTGTGTCTTTGTGTGTGCGTGTGTGTGTGAGGTTCGGAAGTGTGAGGTGTGTGTTTGTGCTTACGTTGAGGAAGCCCACCTGTCCGGCCTGCTGGGCGGAGTCAGGACAGACCAGCTGGACGAACTCCTTGAGTGTCTCCTGCGGGTGATACCTGATGGCCGGGTGAGAGAAGTAGGAGCCGGGCTGCTGCAGGATGGGGGAGGAGGAGAAGTGGAGGCTGGAGGGGGGAGCGTGGGGGCTCGCTGCGGGGGGGAGGAGGTGAGGGCGGGATGAGAGGAAACAAGAAAAGACATTGTTAAGAGAACAAGTCACGAGTGGAGACGCCGAGGTCGACCCCTGGGACCAGAGGTGGGGGGGGCGGAGCCTGGAGGATATTGAAGGGGCGTGTCTTAACATGCAAATACATGAAGATGGACACACACACACACAGGCCGCAGAGAGCAGATGAAACAATCAGCATGGACCATAATGCACTTGTCACTCAGTCCAACTGTCAGTCACAACTACAGCCTGTACAGGTGAGTAAACAGCGCCTCCTCCTGGTTGTTCCTTCCCCGTCTCCTCCTCTACCACATCACTTCCTCTCCTCTTTAATCTAATTAAACCTCTAATTGGTCTAAATTTTCTGATTGCTCGTTAAGGACTGAGACACTACAGAATAGAGCTGTGAGCTAAAGGAGAGAGAGGGAGAGAGAGAGGGAGAGAGAGAGAGAGAGAGGGAGAGAGGGAGGATGGATGGAGAGTTAAAGCTGCTGCACTAATTTACTTAGTCTGCTGTGATTTATCACTGTGACAATACACACTGACTGAGTGTGTGTGTGTGTGTGTGTGTGTTTACTGCAATCACTGGATGGAAGGCTGTGGCCCCACAGACACACACACACTTTTACAATAAATGTGTATGGACACTGATACAGAAGACCATACTCACTGCACAGGTCTCTTCAACCAGAGAGAGAGAGAGAGAGTGTGTGTGTGTGTGTGTGTGTGTGTGTGTGTGTGAGACAACAGGTGATATTTATCATCCTTCAGTCAAAGTAATGTGATAAGAAATAAAATAAAAAGCTCATCATTTATGACAAATGAAGTTGAGATCCTTTCACAATAAAAGTCACTGTTTAAGAAGAAGAAAGTCACAGAGTAGAGAAAAGAACTATTTTTCTCTAATACTTATTTAATATTTTATATATTATAAAAATATTGACTTTTTGTCCAGTGTTTTATCAGTTCTACAGATCAGTTCTACAGATCAGTTCTACAGATCAGTTCCACAGTTTCCCACTGCTAACGGACTTTATTTTGTAGCTCACTGACTGGTCCGGACTATTCTCTAGTCCATGGTCCCAGACTCACACACACACCGAAGACCCTGGTGCTGTTCTGGTCCAGGATTCTCAGGTTGCTCTCGACCAACCACCTGCAGGGCTTATTTTCTGTGTGGACATTAGGCCCCCCTAGAGGCTGAAGTTTCCACTGCGCCTTCAAACAACACAGCGGTGATTGATGCAGAGGATTTAACCAAAATGTCTGAGTCTTCGTACGACGACAGACTGTGTGTGTGTGTGTGTGTGTGGTATCACAGAATGGCCGCCTGCCTGTAGAACACTGAGGAAACAGTCTGGATTAGTTCCACTTTGCAAATTGCCTCGCCTCACCGCCCTGCTTCTCCTCCTCCTTCCTTTACTCCTGATTTTTCTTCCCCTCCTCCTCCTCCTCCTCTTCCTCCTCCTCCTCTATCCATGTCAGGTTTGTCCATACAAATGATAATCAGCAGGTCGATTGATGAAAGTCAAAGACGGAAATTTAAATGGATCAAAACTTTTTCATTTGCTCCTTTGGGGAGTCAGGAGGGAGAATGAGGTGCAGGAGATGAAGGGGAGAAACAGGAGGAGATAAAAGTGAAGTGGACCTGTGGAATGATAAAAAGAGGATGAAAGAAAAGGAAGGGAGGCTGAAAAAGAAGAAAGAGGAGGCGATGATGTCACTTTGATTACCTTAATCAGACTACACAGGAAGTACTGCAGTATACAGTACTTCAGGACTGACGTACTGTAGAGTATACAGTACTTCAGTCCTGAACAATCTACCTGACTGTCACAAGCTGGGGACGCTGACCAGAGGTTGAAGCACCCACAATAATGATTCATGTTAATGGAATTGAATCATCATTAATAAAAATCTGATTAATTTAATTAAATTAATTTTTTATAAATGTTTATAAAACTGAGAGGAAAGGTGAGGAGCACAGAGTGGAGGAGGTGAGAGGGAGTACAGGGGCGAGTGGAGGTCAAAAAGTGAGGGTGAGGAATGTTAGTATCTCACTCACACACACACACACACACACAGCTCAGGTTGTTTGTGTGTCTACATGCGCCGAGGGCTGTTCTTCCTCTTCCTGACAAAACCCACAGTGATCAACAAGGGAGGGAGTGATGAGGAGAGGGACAGGTGGGGGCTGGGGGAGGTGAGGGAGCTGAGGGGGGTGAGGGGGGTGAGGGGGTAGAACTTGACTGTTGTGGACCTCACCTTGAGGCCCGGTAATGACGGGCCAGTGATGGTGTGTGAAAGCCGTTTGGGGCGAAGAGGAGGAGGAAGAAGAGGAGAAGGATGAGGAGGAGGTGGAAGCAGCGTTCTGTGAAGATGTGGCGCCGCAGAACCCAGACCTCCCTGACTTCTTTAGAACATCAGCAGATGATGGCTTCCCTGCCGAGAACCATGATGATGATGAGGAACCGAGGAACTCATCGTTGTTGTTGTGTGATTTTTATTTTTT